TGAAAACCATTGAAAATGAAGTATTTCTAAGATTGTCTTCTATCATTTGTTCGATATAAATCAACGGTTTCCCGGGGGAGGCCAAGGAGTGAAAAACAAAACGTTTTGATCTCGTAAAGTTGGCCATACCATTACACATTGCGTGTGTTCAGATTTTTATTTCTACATATTGATCATTCCTCTGTATCTGTTCGTTCATTGACCTAATATAATTTAGCACATTTGTCTTGCAGATTTCTTTTATCCTTTCACGAGAAACTGTTTCAATATAGATGTGTATATTCTATATCATTAAAACTGCACACTTCCAAAATGATTTTCTTTGTGAGTTATTGATGTTTATTTAATATTTGTAAGTTTAATTCAGCGTGATCAAAATGTTTGAAATCATTGGAAGTATAAACTACAAGTATAGTTTAGAAACAGCCAACAGCTTCCTTAACAATCCAAATTCCTTATCTTAAATTATTTACCCCATATTTTTAATAACATCATAAAAAGGTACCAATCTGTTCAAATTTATTTTCACTACCTAGCTTTACGTAAATAACTATAAATTGCCTGCATTCAAATCTACTCATATACCTTTTTCTATCATGTCAAACTATTATTTGACAATTGAGCGTACAACAAAATATGAAAAAGCGTCAGCATTTTCATTAATTTTTACCTTATGAAATGTTGCTATTGATTCCAAAATATATATAAACTTCTGTCAGTGCCATGAATTGATTCTATCAAATGAAGATAAACTAGAAGCGACTATTCAGTGGCCATTATTTGTGTGTTTTGGCATTCTTGTAGCAAGGGATTTAACTCTGGTGTTTCTTTTAGAAATCCTGCTAGAGGACATTTCTCAAGAGTCCCTTTAGAGTCTTCACAATTTCTCTGGTCATTTACTTTGAATGAAACTTTCGAATGCATCTTATTGTACATAAACCAAGGCTATGTCGAAACAGGGTTTATTTCGCCATAAATCGTGTTGAATTTAACGGGACACTTCGCACACATGTACAATGTTGGAACTTAGTTAATTGAACAATTAAAGATACATTAAGACTATTGATTTTACAATTTAGCTAACTTTTTGAGTACATTATTTATGAGTAGATCTAAAAGTAGATCTAAAAGTTCGTTGTCACGTAATTTTAAACGTTTATCTTCCCCTCACTTGAACTTAAAACTTCAATCATGTTTTGAAAATGTTTACAAAATAACATTAAATATAAGATACTGGTAATTCGATGAGCTAAGGGCAAATAAAATCAAGCTGTTATTATAAACCTAGTTAATACAAATGTTCCATTATATATGTTTCGATAACATTTGATATACATGTGAAATAAGAAAAAATTATTGAGGTAAAAACAGAGAAATACATAAACAGAAAATACATAAACAGAGAAATACATAAACAGAGAAAACTTTTTTTATAGTTACATCAAATATTTTTTCTTTTAAATTCATCCTCCACATAAGAATGTCAAAATAGTGCAATATTAGATGTTCTAATGTTGATGTAAAGAAGAAAAATTGATTTTCTGTTCATTTCTGAGAAATCATGGAGATAAGGTCCCAAAGAATATTGAAACTTACCAAATTTTTACTGCATATATAGTAAGAAATTATTCGCCATATAAAGCAAGACCGCTTCTTGCATTGACTTTATGAAAAGTTTGTTCATATGGTTCGGATATATATGATGCAATACGAATCTACCTATTCGGTAAGACAAAGGATTAATTGTTCTGATTATCTAATAATGTGATGACGATACATGAACGTCCACACATCATCATATGTATATTGAAAAAAATCATACGTTTAATTATACCGATTTCATAGTTACTTTCAAATGATTTACTTCTTGAAACAAGAGATAAAATAACACCTCTTAAAAGCAGTGTAATGTGCAGAAAATATGTCGTTTAATATTCTACAAAATAATTGAGATTGTATAACTTTTTATGAGAATTTTTATGTTGTGAAATATATTTTGCGATATGCATAGAATGCTTTACATGTGAATGTACTTTTTTCTTTAATAAAGGCTAATAAGCCAATGTTTTTATTATTATTACATGTTTCAATACACCGTTTTAAAGGGATACTCCCAGAGGTGTATTTTAATTACAAAGAAGACAAAACGAGGTGGTGTTTTTGTGTGTGTGTGTTTTTTTACAATTATACGGAACACAAACATTTTAGTTTTTGTCATCTAAACTATTAAAAATTTACATGATATGCATCATATTCTATGCATTCAATTTCCTTGATACACTCAAAATTTCATAAAGACATATACAAGGAGAGGCATTACATCATTGAAATAAGTGGTGAACCTTGTGACATTATTACTTAAATTTGAGTTTAAACAAAAATGACAATGAATGTTATGTTTATGAAAAAGAACAAGCTGAAAACGGCAGTAACTTACATATATACAGGCGCGTAGCTAGCCTATAAAGAATGTGGATTCAAAATAATCCAGGGGGGTCAGGGGGCATGCCCCCCCCCCCCCCCCCTGAAAATTTTGAAATAAATGGTGCAATTTGGTGCGTTTTGGGGCCTCCGGAGAGCTTTCTTGACCAACGAAAATCCATTCATTTTAGCATAAAAATGGAGATGAATAGCTTTACTTTCGTTTATTTCAACTAGTCTACATTTCACAGCAATCAATATAACTATTCTACCAAGAAGGAACTATTTCAAAAATGCAGAGTAATACGACAAATGCACCAGAATTTTTCACATTTGCATCATGAATTCACTGATTCAGGTTGGTTAGTTCAAAATGTTGTCAGTCTCGCTAGAATCGGTTCACAGACACGGTCAAACATGTCATTACTCAACAAACAGACCGAAACAAATAAACACTAGGCATACATAGTAACATTTTAGTTATAATTACCTCTTTTCTATCGCTGATTCTGCTGATGACTTCTTTAAGAACTCGATGTAAACATTTGTTTACATTTCGAAAATACGGCGCGTGCAAACTTCCGACTTTGAAGAGCTGCAAAGGCCGACAACTTTTCAAAAAAATACTATGGTGTACGATTTAGGCTATATGATTTATAAAGTATTCAGTGTGGTAATTATCAGATCTGGCGAACGCGGCTGAATTTCAAACCACATTTTTTACTAAAAAATTTTTTTTGGTCAAAATAACGTGGATTCAGCTGCGTACTCGCGTATAGGCAGCTACGCGCCTGGCATATGTATAGCAAGTGAACTCGTCTTAGATAAAGTTTATTATTTCCATATTTAAATAAGACTCATTCAAAACTTTTATTTTTGTATTGAAAAACTCATTGAGCTATAAATTGTACTATCTACTGCAAATTACTAAAGGAGTATTTTAGACATAAATATCTTTTTAAATAGTATTCAATACGCATGATGAGGCCTGGTTTGAATGAGCGAAATTTTATTTAAATACTCAATATGGTTAGAACATATAATACAACGTTACATATGTTATAAAAAGATATTTATAGATTCTATGGAAATTGAATTTACTATATCGTTTTATGAAAATGAATATGGTTACTTTGTTTAATGACCTTAGATATTTTTAATGCTCATACAATCAATTTTTGTTAAGCACCTAAATTATTTTACTATTTAATGAAAAGTGTGAAAAAAATCAATAATTTATTTTGCATAGTTGAAAAAGCAATGTTTTGAAATTACCCTACCTGAATGCAAGAAGTTTAATCGGGTTAGGTCTCGGCACGTGGTCACATAAAGCATGTACCGCGCGTTTCTCTATTTTCAACTGGAGCAGAGGCACATTATTGTCCTTAATAGACTAATCCTTCTAGAAAACGCCGACAACAACTGCAACACTTACTGATTTTAAGATTTTACTTCATATGACTCGTGGAAAAAATAGTAGATGCGTTCGTATTTTACTGATCGGGATTTTTGCGTGCTAGATTGATTGTTCAAATACGTGTACGATTTAAAAAATCTGGACAAAATGTGATCCCTCGCAAGCATTTATCACAACAAAATTACATGAAGATTGTATGATATAAGACTTTCCAGTCAATATTCTCAATTTTGTCATGCATGACCCTGCTGCATTTAAAAGCATATGGTTACTTTTAGGATGACTTTTTAAACGTTTCCTTGGTTTTTTTAATTGTTTAAGGCGTAAAATCAGACAAAAAGTCATTCCTTCTTAACAAGTCGGAAGATTTATTTTGGGGATTTGTCAAGCACTAATTATCATTTAACATTAAAGTCACAAATAGATAAAAATAGTTTCACAAACTTCATACAATATAAGTTATAAATTTATATATCATGAAACGTATAACTTATAGATTTTAGCTTTGCCTGGTTAATACAATATTCATAAAGAGTAACAGGTGACAACATGTTATTGTTTTTCACCTCGTCTTGATTAAAATCATTGATTGTCTAGTTGTTTATTTGATGAAAATAAAAGATAAAACAGTCTGATTATCATATATAAATGAGGTTCGGCTCAATAAAAAATACGACTGGAAAGCATCGTATTTTTCCGTTCAGTGATTGTATCATGGAAAACATGGGATTTTTCGTTTTCCCGATTCCCTACAAATTTCATTGATAATCTCCCATTCCTTTCATACAGTTTCCAATCATGTTAAAAATAAATCCCCTTTAATTAGAGCCCCTGCTTGACAATTAAAAATATTAGATAACAAATTTCATGAAACCAGATTTCATGGAAAATAATAATTAAAACATAGAAACCACAATTATATTCAGCGTGCCTCAAAATTTGCTTTTTATTTCTTTTTAATTTATCTAAACAGGCGTTTTTTCAGGCAACAAATAAAACTTTTTTCAAAATGTTGGGTTTTCAAGTTCAATTTATATGGCACTGTTAGGTAACATTTACACGATCGTTCATATTGGACCATATAACTGTACAAAATCTTTAAAATACAGACGGACCTCTTGTTTGTTACACGCTCAATATGTTGCAAGATTCATTTAGAATAAGTTCATAGTCTTTGTAGCTACTCGTCATTCATTTTGACTCGTCATTTAACGAACACCTCCTCGTAGTTTTAATATTTAAAGATAAAACAATGGGATATAGATTAGTTTTCTTTGTCGTTGGACTTTGCCTCATTGCAAATATGGATGTGGCGTTAGGTAAGTTGCATTGTTATTTCTGTTTTGTTCATGCGGGCATATTTAGAGTTCGGTCATTCTTTTTCCAGTATTGCATCTTCTTTCCTTCATATTAAATTCTGGTCAATCCTCACAATTAACGCTGATGTACAAGTTTTAATTTTCAATTTTCAATATCTTTATTCTCTACTCAATTTAGTCATGAAAATTATCATGTACATGGGTGACATTTCATATGAATATGAAATGTAATTAAATTAAAATTATTTTCTGCAAAAAAATATTGTATGAAACGTTTTATTTGATATATATGTAAGAAATCAAGTAACGCGTTTACCTTATATTGGACAATCAAATATTTATCTGTTTACAAATATTGTCTTACATTACATATTGTTGAACGGAACATTTCTTATACATTCATATTCAACACTGAACAGAACATTTCTTATACATTCATATTCAACACTGAATAGAACATTTCTTATACATTCATATTCAACACTGAACGGAACATTTCTTATACATTCATATTCAACACTGAACGGAGCATTTCTTATATACATTCATATTCAACACTGAGCGAAACATTTCTTATACATTCAAATTCAACACTGAATGGAACATTTCTTATAGAATATCTTAATTCTTGACATTAATTAATTCATTCAAATTTTATATTTATTAGGTGTAAATGGCATGGCCGACTGTGCATGCATGCTAACGGAGAACTGTGAGAACAAATATGTCAGACCTGCTGAACAACAACCAACTAATTGTCCAGATGGGCAAATATACTGTTGTAATATTGAAGACGACCGAAAATAAAGTCCGTCTAAGTTTGATCTTTTTGTTTGTCAAATTAAAGTGAACAATATGCTTACGCTGGTTTATGTTTTGTTCAAATAATTGGGAAATTTATTGTCGGTTTTGACGTTTGTTAGATGTTATTGGTGTAGTTGCTTTCATCTAATTTAGATTTTAATGATAAAGCTTTTCAGTTTAGTAAATTTTTATATAATCAGATAGGAATTTTTACGAGGTTTCCGAACATATTCCGGTCAATAGTATATATAAAAATAGATACTAACCTTTATAATAAAAATAACAGACGAGTAAAGATCATTGAGATTTGTTTCTTTGGACATTATGTTTATGTAATATTTAAATGTTTTACATATTATTATATTTTAAATTAGATGTGTTATATATTTGCATGTAAAAAATTCGTCCAGACGAATGATCTGCTCATGTAATAATTTTAAAGACATTTTGTCAATAATTGTTATAAAAGCCTTATAAAATTGTCTTTTCTTTGATTTTTCAGAGTTCTCGAGTTTTGTATGAGGAAAAGAAAAGCGGCAGTTACGTTACCAATTTTGTGAAAAGAAATAAAAAATAAACAAAAAAATAAATTATTCATTAGTCTTTGTTCATATTTAATGTTCAACATTTTACCCGAAAAATGTCTTGCCATATACCAATGGTAAAATAATTGTTATCCATGTCATTATGCATTCCCGAATAACAGACTGAATTAAGCTTAATAATGATGCCGTGCAGTAGCAATCGCCAACCACCGGGTATTTCCGTAAACTCCTGTTGTATAACAACAGGATAATGCAAGGTTGATGATCTACTCGATCACCCGCTTGTGTCAGAAACAATTCATGGAGGGTCAATCCTGGGGTCTGTCTTAATCAATAAGGGTTGAATGATATAAAATGATCCTGACAGTACTTGTGTAACTAAAAATAATAAAATAAAAAAGTACATTAACGTACAAGAAAAGCATTGATGCAAAGCATCAAAGGGCGACGCCAAAAGAATTTGATCCAGATTTGCACCTAAATACTTAACAAAAGATGTGTACTTTATAGCAGTACCATTACATGTGACCTGGAGGCTAGGGCCAGGTTAAGTTGAAACTTAAACCAAAAAAGAATAGACTCTGTCTTGCCAAGATGCAAAGGCAATTTATAGTCAATTAAGCAATCTTATAAGACTCATGTTATAAGAAAGAATTTCTTCAGATTTAATTTATGAGACACAAGGATTCCTGAGTCATCAGCATATAATCACTGGCACGAGTATCGGACCTGGGAAGAAAAAATATGACCAGATGACCAGATTGATAAAAAAAACTGTGTTTATAAAAACCAAAACAAAAAATGTAAATAATGATCCCCTTTAAAAATAAATAATGATCCCCTTTAAAAATATACTATCAACTTGAAGTATATTTTTAAAGGGGGTTATTATTTACATTTTATTTTGGTTGTTGACACTTTTAAGATGAACACAGGTTTTTTTATCAATCTGGCCATATTTTTTCATCCAAGGTCTGATACTCGTGCCTGTGCATTATAATAAAAGCTTATTGCTTAGGGTTGAAGACATGTAATTGACATATATTAGACATAAAAGAGGACCTAAAATGAACATCAGGGGACAGCATAGGTACTCAGAGCAGTAGTAGAATAAGTACCAGCCACACCAACCAGCTACTATCAGAGATAAGACTTAAACCATGTAAGAATGTCATTATATATGGCAGATGCTTGAAGTTTCATGAAGAAGAAGAAAAACAACTTCTTCATGTGCAGGATAGTGTGTTCAACTGTATCAAATGCCCTTTGTAGATCTAAAAGTATCATGCAATACTGCCTTTGTCCATTTCAAATAATGCAATCTGTTAAATGAATCAAACATGTGTCAATTGAAAAACCACTTCTAAACCCTGACTGAAAACTGCCTGACCATGACTCAAACCCATGACTTTCAGAAGACCAACTGAGCTATCCGTCCTGCTACACATTTTCTCTTTAATAATGAAACAGTTCTAAACCACAACATATTTCCCCACTATATCGATTTGTGTTCGTGAATTTCTTATGTTACAGAGCATAGGAAATTGAACTCATGCTTATATGCAGTCATAGGATGAGAAAAACTTTGAGCTTGACCAGAACTCATTAACCTGTGACCAACATAAGAAATTTTATGAAGGCTGATTTGTATTTTGCATCAAGGGCACCGGGCAAAAACATGAAAATGCAACAAACAAACCACTTTGTGGTAGATTGTATTTTCATGTTTTCATCTGGCGCCCAGTTACTTTTTGTACTATGTTGGTTTTCATGTGGCACAAATCACCCACTATAAATTTAGTGCACAAATTTATTCAAGGGCAAGTAACAATCTACTCTATGTACAGTCTGTTGTCGCCTTGACTCAGGAGACCTGGAGGTTGAGACCGGTGTCTCTTCATTACAAATAGATAAGACAGAAGCTGTCCTTTTCAAACTATGCACATGTTAGAAAAAAAATAAAATAACAGTTCAGAATATGATTTTTTGAGACTTTATTAATTATATTGCTTGATCCAAGTTTAAGGACATTTTCAATCAATACATGTTTTATCATTTATAACTTTAAATGAAAGTCTCATCCCTTTAATAATAATGACATAACTGTATCTCTTTAAATGCAGAAAAATTATAAGTCTCAACATATCAATATACTACTGTCTAAGATATACATGTACATGCACATAACATTAATAATTCCCAGTTTATATTAAATAAATATGAAATCCTAACATTAACATTAACATGCTTTTGATGACCTTACAACTGGTGAATTATATACAACAAAAATAGTATTATAAGTAATACCTAAGATAGACAGAAAAGAACAAATAATTTAGTAAACATAAGTTACTTCCCCTTAAAATAAAGAAAACCTGAAACCCAAAAGAACACGATAAACAGCAAAATTATGAAATGTTGCAGGTTCAATTTTATCAAGCCATGCAAATTAATGGTAAAGTATTCATAAAAAAATAGATGGCCATGTGTCAGCAGTAATTGCAGAAAATCGGATAGCTTTCAACATCCGGATACTGGTACACTTTTGTAAAAACAACCATTCTGCGCAACAGATAAATGTAATAAGGATAAAATCAATAGGATAATCGTTTACAACAGTTCCATTACCTATCCTTATACTCAATTGCAGGTGAACTTTCTTCTTGTAGGAAAATTTTGAAAATGTATAAATGATACGGCCTCAATCTAGACCACAACGATATTCGAAATCCAGGTTTTAGTATTGTCATTAAAACTAAGGGACAAGCTGTTAAACTTAACCCGCAATTTCGTGAAAATAATATCACAATGCACATGCTTTTTACATAAAGTTATTAAATACAAATATAACAACATATTTGTTTACTTGATTTTTACGAATCAAAATAAAACTAATTTACACAACATGAAATTAACTGCTAATAATAACAGCTCCTTCCATAGGCAAAAATAAAAAGCGTTCCATAATAGACGACGCCGCTCACCGGCGTCGCCAACAAGTCTATTCAGTGAACACCTGTTAAATGAAACAATGGTGACATAAACATAATTTGCGCTCTAACACTGCTGGAGAAGGAGCTCATTCTTTTAATGTGATCAAACCCAAAACAGTTAGAGACAATTTTTGCAACGAAATGAGATAAATTTTTTCTCTCCTGAAAGTAAAGAATTATGACCCCTGGTAAAAAATAATATCATTCCACGAAGAAAAGTAACACCCAGTCATTCGAAAGTTGTCATTTTTTTTAATGAAAGACAACTGTATGATATAAAAAGGTAAATGAAAAGGTCTTGTTTATTATAGTACCACCCCTACTGATAGAGCCAGCCATTCCTGACTTATGAGACACCTTCTGCTTGCAAACCATGTACATCCTATGTAACCCCTACCACAATGCCAGGCGCCAGGCGGATATAAATCGGTAACCATTCATTTTAACTGCCTCGCGGCTCACGAAGCGGCCATTTCGGAAAGAGTCTCACGAGAAACATTCATCCTTCAAATAACGCTCCCCGTGGGGCTCGAGCTTTCGACCTCCCGACCCGAAGGCAGACGCCTTAACCACTAGGCCGACGGTACCGGTTCATGCTGATATAATGACCACTCTACGAGAAGTAAATGACGCCAATGATTTCGTAGAGGAGAGTATAAACAGTATAATTATAACTATACATGAATTGTATTTACATTAGAGTGGCCTGCGGTCCGCAATATAGCTCAAAAGTGTGACACTGAAACAGAAATGTATAGACAATTATAATTAAAATAAATAAATATATGCAATAGTATGATTCTTCATCTATCGTAAAAATGTATCATTATGTTAGTGTTCACCGTGTTACAGTATCGCGTTTTCCGGTTACAGTATAGAATTTTCAAGATGGAGGATAATTTGTGGGGAGGACAGGTAGGTGATTTTGATTCCGGTCCATACTACAAGTAGTTTAGTTTCTAAAAGGTGTTTTTGTGCTTTGCTTGTATGGAACAGAATCCGGTATCTAGTCATATATTTCTTCAGACCCTGCACAGCAGCAGATTTATCTCTATATTGTCTCATAAATATGCAGATTTGACGGTTTGAAAATTTGAATCGAGAGACCAACGCATTTTTCTCCAATTTCGACATTATTTATGCATGCCTAGAAACAGTAAATCTGCAAAACGTTAGTCCTTTATGTTGAGAAACGTTTATGAAAGTAAATGACCAGTTGAACCTATTTTCCTGTGCGTTAAATGAGTTTGAAAAAATAAACAATGTTACAGTATAGAGCGAGGTGATTTGTGCAGGGTTACAGCATAGACCTAGCGATTTTTATCCGATTTTGTTACAGTTTATACCCAGATTTCGGTTACAGCTTAGACTTCGATATTTTCTTTTTATACTGGGTAAAATGTATGAATGATACATAGACTTTTGAATCTCTAGAAAATCAACTCGTGAGCTTATTGGCCCGATGGCATTCGTCCGTCGTTCGTACACGTGTGTGCAATCACATCCGCAAACTACTTGAATAAATGTGATGAAATTTACATGACTTTCTATCAAAGTTGTTGAAATGGTTTCAGTTGCAATCGGGAATACGAAAACCAAAAAAATAGATTTAAAAAAAAAGCAATGTTTAAAGATCCATCTCATCTCGAACCAAAAAGCATTGAAATCAAATCATGATCATGGCGTCATTCCGAATGCTTCTTTGTTAAGTCAAGATTATTTTGTCATTTTGAAATTAAAAGTCGTTTTTTTCTTATTTCAGACATCCGGTATAGATGTTTCATGTTTCTGAAAAAGAAAATAATATTGAAAGTTATTAAGGTCAGACAATTACAATATATTCTCCAGTGAGCCTGATGGAGGTACGTAATAGTGCCAGAGTCGGGATAAGGCCGCCGATTTCAATTCATCTTTCCTTTACTGCTGTGGTTGAAATCATGACTTTGGATTCTTTGTATGTGAGGAATCTATCAAGCTTGTTTACGGAAGGTCGATGGTTCTACTCAGGTGCCCGCTCGTGTCTGAAATGTTTTACAAAGGGTATCTGGGGTCTTTCT